CTGGATATCCACAACCGACCTCCACGAGGTATTGATCATCGGGTGAAACAGCACCGTAGATCAACACGACTAAGTGGTTGTCTGGTGTTAGATCGTTACAGAACACCGTTGAGTGGGCCATCCTGGCATCGTAGCCGAGTGCTGACAGCAAAGCAAACATAAAGGTGTTCTTAGAGTAGCACAACCCTCCCTGACCCGCGAACATGTCTTTTTTAATATCCTCCCAGGACCTCCTGTGGCGTTTGTCCACATCAAAAGACATCAGCGTCAGACTCTGAAACGGTTCCTTGCCGTAGAAAGCTACAATGATTTTATTGAGTAACTCGATCCTATCGTTTGCTTCCAATGAGCTGACGGGAAAATTTGGTACGTTGTCTATCGTTAGAATGTTCTTAAGAAATGAATTTGCCTCGTCAACACTCAGTAGATCCATATCAGTGCGATTTTTTTTTTATACTAATTGATTATCAGCTTGACTGGATTAGAAAAAAAAATTGAATTTCTGGCTTTGCTTTATTTGTACGTTACGCAAAAGAAAATTTTAAGCGCTTCACTGTATGGAGTTTACTTTTCTTAATGCCTTGATGGATCAACTTTGACCCTGACCAGCTTTAGAATTAGCTCTTATAGCGATGACGTTCAAGTGTCTGAAAGGTTTAGAAAAAAAAAAAAAAATTAGCATAGGATTTCTCAAAACTTAACAAATAATAACATCATAGAGTTTACCACCCTTTACAATACGTTTTTTATTTTTATTATATTTTTATTAAAAAGAAAACACTGTTCCCCCTCCTCCCCCACCCCCCTCATCACAATCAACCGAAGACTTAGAGATCGTCAATAAATAATAAAAAGCTCTTTCTACTTAAGGAAGGATGAAGTTAGATTTTAAATAATTATTTTTTTTAAATTTATATTTTTAAAAAAAAATATTTGCTTTGATTTGCCTCCAGTGAGCTTACGGGAACATTTTGTACGTCATAATCTATCATATTCTAAAGGAATGACTCTGCCTCTTCAACACTCATATGCATGCATACTTGTGGTTATGTCCTGTAACATATGTTTAAGTCATGTGCACATGTCTTTATGTGCATCGCAGTTGTTTTTACGTCATTTTTACATGTGTTTGAATATAGTAATTTAAATAAATGAGTTATTTTATTTAGTATTCATAATTATTCTTATCCTCGCACTGTACGCATTTGAATCTCCTATTCCATTTAATGTCCTCCAGACAGCTCATTACTTTTTATGGGAACACTTTAAATGAAACACATCAACTATAAGAGGTCATGACAATACAGATGACGAAAAAAAAAAAGACACTAGTGTAAAAAAAATATGTATATATTTATTTTGTTTGTTCCGTGCTACTGGCTCGTCTGGCAAACATGAGAAACATCTGACGTACCACGATAGCGTTGTTTTCGTCGACCAAAATAATGACTGGGGAAAATGAAAGAAAACCAAGCCCCCGTGGAAATACGCTAACAACTGCTGACAGATTGGCGAGCAAATGAATTTATATTTCTTTTGATTCCAACCATCAGACAAACAATTCGCCTCGATAGGCTCATCAAAAAAAAAAAAATCCTGATGAAATGGGTAGGATGTATCTTCGAAACTCTCTCTCTCTCTCTCTCTCTCTCTCTCTCTCTCTCTCTCTCTCTCTCTCTCTCTCTATATATATATATATATATATATATATATATATATATATATATATATATATATATATATATTTATATATATATGTATATGTATATATATATAGTCGAATGGATCTGTTCCTAAAAAAAATTTATGGAAAAATATAGTTTTTGTTGCAAAATCCATGGGCACAGTTATTACACTACATATGTTATAAGTCAAAATCAAGGGTGAACCCCAAAATATGCCCAACTGTACATTTTGGATTCGGTTCAAGACTTGACAGAAAGAATGAACTATCAAACAAGCAAGTGACTCATTCGTGTATTAAGGGAGAACCTTCAAAAACTTCTGGAGATATTAATCCGTTCTAGAGAATACCAGCAACATGCTTAAATTTGAACAAGACAAAATTCTAAAGGCAAATCGAGAAAACCCGAACGCCAGTTGAATATAGCAGGACATTCTCGAAAAAAAGAGTAAATGATGGGTACCCTGCCAGAATCAACGCTACCACTGCCAGAGGAGAAACTGCTGCCTTTATTATAGTACAGATGGTGCACCGCCAGAAATTCGAGATATTACAATACATCAGAAAAGCGGAACTTACCAGATACATCCATCCTGAGTAGAACCTGTGAGCCAATGTTCTACCCTTTGATAGGCTCTGTGAGCCAATATTCTACACTTTGCTTTTCCCATGTGGGGAAATTGGTGTGTACCACAGACCAAAACAAATCTTTTGGACTTACAATGTGTCCCAACGTCAATGGTTTTGCTACCATTTTGCTATTCATGATGTAATCTTTAACAAGTTCCTCAACACAGGAAAGCATACTCACCAAGACATGGCAAGACCGAGGCAAACCGTTTGAATTGGCTATTATCGATAACAAGAAAATTTGATAAGTCAGTTTCACAAAGGTATTTAGTTGGAAAATGAAGGAGCCTACACGTTGAGATGAAATTTTCATTTTTACAAAATAAAACTTTCTACGTTCTGAAGTTCTTAATTGTCCCGCGTTATATATTGTCAGGAGACCCATCATCGGTCAATACCCTCAGGTTGAGAACCGTTGATTTTGCTCTAACTGTAAAAATACCCGTCCAAATCAGCAAAGTAGGTTTACATAGATTTCATTTAGATTAAACTCGTTTGAGGGTTGCCCTTGTTGTTTTCCTACCATGAGTGATGCACAATTACACTGCAGCTTTCCAGTTAGCTTCAATCAGATTCACAGACGGTGGGATTTCTACACAATTTACCTATTCTGGTGGCCTGTGTATCTTAACTATAATACACTGATGGCATATTTGTCTGACCTACTGCAGTGGTGGCATGTGTATCATAAATACACTGGTGGCCTATGCATCTTACCTATACTGGTGGTCAATGTATTTTACCTACACTTTTGGCCGTGGCTTTTCATACTGCCCCCCCCCCCCCCCCCAAAATAAATAAATAATAAAAAAAAAATTACATCCTATATTTCTGCAAAAGATAAATCTAGAATATCGGCTGAATCTAGAATTTAGCTAAATTTGTGCTGGATCTAGATTTCAGAAGATTATGTCATAAGCTCAATATTCAACATTCTAGGACAGGGGGCCAAACTCATTTGGCCCAAAGGGACGTTTGATTGCGTGTCAACTCTTCACGCATCTTTTTAGAACTTAATAAATAAACTGCTTCACACAAAAAAAAAGTTAGAATGCACTCAATTCTTAGATGACAATCTATCCTCACGTGTTACATATACACATGATATATTTTATGTATTTAGTTAAAATATATACCTGTTTGTTTGTTTTCTTGTAAATTGACCTGGCATCCGGCGGGCCACGAACCGTATCTTTCCGGACGGCAAATTGACCGCTCCTGTTCTGAGATATCGGGGAAATTGGTTTAAGAGTCAACTCAACCAAGTTGACCTAAAATGTCTATATTATCATCTGATCAAAATTTTTGTACCTAAAAATTTACTCTCAGAATTTACACTTTATCGAAACGTGTTCCTATTTGAGTGGACAGAAGATAATATAATGGATCACAACAAGCTTCACAACACACAATAACCCACCCCTTTTTACCCCGCGCAAAAAAAAAAATAAAAAACATTATATATTCAACCCGAACAGGTTTTGTCCGGAAACGTTTCGTGTCTGTCAAGCTAAAATCATTTTTTCGTTTCAGACATCTGTGACAAAAATTGGATAACTGTTTTGAATTTCAGGCCCATCTCCTGAATACCACATTTTACAACCATCTTTAGTACTTTCAATGATTTTGTTTTCGTTTTCAGATGTTCTAGGAAGGAGATAGTTCATGTTGAGAAAAGTGCATTGTAATGTAGCATACATTCCCAGTGCTTGAATTTTGCTTGACCCAAATTAGATCCCTAGCAGACGTTAGCGTTTGCTGTGGGCGTGGCCTATTCGTTTGATGCATCTTGTTTACAACCGTGTTTACCAATTAAATATATTAGACAGTCTCCTGGTATTTTCTCGAAAGTGCTCGATAACCCAAGAAATGTAAACAACAATTCATAAGTCTTTTGTGGAAGGCAGGGCTTACGCGACCTATATAAGGGATTGACAGGCACGGACGGAGAGTCAGATTCAGATAGATATTTTTACCTTCACGAGACGTGTATTATTCTTTGTGTATTTGTGTGCTCATATGTGTTTATTTCGCATTCATCACTATTAATTGGCAGATTGTATTAACTGTGTACCGGTACAAGATCTACCATACTGTAAGTTGATGATTTATAATTATATTTCTTTTTTTTTGTTATGGTATTAATACTTAATAAATCTTAATTAATTGTAACTGGCAACCGTTTTTGGTGTCGTATCTTTAATATTGTTGACTCCTATGGTATCGTCCTATGTTAGGCACTGTTTACAACGAGCCAATAAAATTAAAATAGGAGATTATTATCTCATATTAGAAGCCAGTGCGTAACAGCATGCATGCCTAATGCCTTAGAAGCATTTTGGATGATCAGACTTAGGAAACCTAGATCTAAAATCAACACGCAAAAAATTAATAAAATATTATAATAATAGTAATAATAATAAGGAGCTTCGGGGCCTGAGGGGAATAATTATTTATCGGTAATCGAAAAAATCAATTGTTTTTGGCCTGTTACAGCGATGCTGCAAACTATTAATGACAAGTGAAGGGACTCCTAACACTTCTCTGCGAGGAGTCAACCCCGAATCAATATGTTCGCCTCGCACGTGTCTATCCTATACTTTATTGGTTTGACACGTCGTGTGAATAAAAACCCCAAAGCTTGAGGGTTATGACAACGGCAACAAAAATCTCTCTGTACTGGACCACTTCTTCCTACGGCTAACTGAATGATGAAGACACTTGCTGCTGCCTTCCTCGTGTTCATTTGCTATGAGGTTAAAACATTTAAAAAAAAAAAAATACTAATTTGAGTTATAACAAAATAAATTTATGAACAAAATGGATCTAAATTTTTCTTGAGACAAAATTTCTGTTATGATAATCAAGCCATGGATTCAATCTGTGCTCCTGTTCGGAAAAGTGGCTAATTTTCTGAACAAACGCAATTTTATTTAGAACAAATAATGATATCTAATGTCAGTGAACAATTTCTTAGTTTCTATATTTATTTAAATTTCTGACGAGATAAAATGTTTAAATTTAAAAGAATATTTACATTGTATATAGTGTCCCCACTTCGAAATCTACCTAGTTAAAAAGAATAAACCATATTGAACACACACAAATGTATACGGTACAAAAATGAATCAGACATATGAAAATGTGCAAGAATGTTTTGAACACTTTAGACTCAAATTAAATTGAAAGGGCATCTTTTATTATAAAATATCATCCACCCCAGAGTGACTTGACATCCAAAAATGTAACTGCGGACATTTCACGCAAAATCAGAAATCAAAATCCGCCGAAAGTTGCATGCCCCTAGAGGATGAAAAAATCAAACACTTCACATGTCTTCTCTTAGATAAAGATTTATTAGACGAATAAATTATTTCGATGAAACAATACATTACACCAGGGTTACAAAATCAAATAAAAAGTATAAAAAAAAAGTACGAACAATTAATTAAACTATTAAAAAGTTTAACCTTACAAATAAATGAGAATACAGTCAATTAAAGTATTAGTCGCGTGGTGTACGACTTAATCTCTGGTGAGTATTTATTAATACTTATCATCACCCGGCGCAAAGTCCTATATGTGGTAATCGTTTTTTGTTGTTTTTTTGGCAAAGTTTTCTCATCCGGGATTAATGGTTCACACCCTTGGTGTACCCGTGACCAGCACATAAGACAAATGGTCATAAATTGTGTCAATTTTAATGTAAGGTTTCGTTTCAAGTCCTAATGAAAACGGACATTTTTAAATTTCCTACGGGAAAATTCATTTTATGTCAAATATGTTTAAGGGCTATTGTTGCTTACTCCTCTCTTCATTATAAAAAAAAATAATAATAATAAAAAAACAGCCTAAGCGTGAAACAAATTACAAAATTGATATTTTTGACGACCGTCTTTTTTTTTTTTTTGCTGGCATCCGTCCGTCACAATGTGCAGATGGAGTGGGCTTCGTTGGATTATGACCGTCTTACTATCAAACATTTTTTAAGCCTAAGCGTGAAACAAATTACAAAATTGATATTTTTGACGACCGTCTTTTTTTTTTTTGCTGGCATCCGTCCGTCACAATGTGACGATGGAGTGGGCTTCGTTGGATTATGACCGTCTTACTATCAAACATTTGTTAGACATTCTTATTTTGTCCAAGCTTCAACCAGTTCTTATTTCCACCACAGGTTCAAGCAGTTGAGCTTCATACAGTGTTACAGAAACGAGACGGTAAGTCGGCCAATGGTAATACTGGAAAACGTACACCGTATTAATTTGTTCAACTTATTTTTGATATAATAGTCGACTTAACTAAAATATGGAATACATTTTTTTTTAAACACATTATGCAACGCAAATTTTAACAAGAGTTTCCATCTTTTAAATCAAAAAGACTTAAACTCAGCCAGCATCTCCTAAATGTTCATAATTCATTTGTCCTTAAAACTGATGCGTAAGTGGTCTCCATATTTGTTATTTAAATTTGTTTATTTTTAGAACATTAGCCTTAGAACCGTAAATCTAAGGACCGTGGTGGTGGAAGGAAATTTAGCAGTACCAAATAGCTGGTCCACTGTTCCAGTATTAAACAGAAACTCGTCCCTCTCCCCCCATTGACAGCGACGAGGCCATAACAGGCAATTCAGGCTCATACCAGCAAGAAGCCAGTATAGGAGCTGCTCATTCCTGCCCAAGACAATCAGGGACTGGAACAATCTTTCAAAAGGAACTGTTGAGGTGACAACACTAGACACATTTGTGTCTATTGCCTCAAGCCTTCAAACCCCTAGTGCATGATTCCCTCATAAAGTGGCACTGGAAATCAGTGGAATTTCCTCATCAACACCAGGAACGGAACCATTGCAAATCCCATCTACATGCATAGGAGCCAAAGTGATCAATAAATTGATCGTGGGCCCTTAAGATATAGAAGAAGAAGATAAGTTTTCAAAACTCCGGCGCCAACCAATATACATAAAATGAATTCATTCGGGTTATAATGCCCCTGAAATTATTTTTTTTAAATTGTAAATGAAGGATTGCGTTCAAGCTATGTGAAGCAAATAGTGGAGCAAGGTATAAACACACACACATATATATATATGTATGTAAGAATGAGCTAGGCTGACCATAACGCCAAACAGACGAAGCGACTTAAATACCTTCCTAAAAAAAGCCATGATATGGATTTTCTATTATTTTACGTAGATCGAATAAATTTAAATGAGCTAAAAATAAAATATATAAGCTGTTATTTTAGTAAATGTGTAAGTATTTTTATTTTAAGTTACAAATACTTTTTTTTTTTAAAAATAAAGAGCTATTTTTAAAATGTTATCTGAATTTGAACGTTGTGAAAAGAATGTGATGAAAAAATTATCTAAAAAAATCATCGTATTTACATTTATCGGAAAAAAGTACACATCTATGGGTTTTATAGCCTTTTTTTTTAGTGTGTTGCTCATATTACATAATAAAATTAAATTTTTTTGTTTTTTTTCTAAATAAACACGCACATGAAGTCATAGCGCCAATAGCCTATTTTATCTTAAGTTCTAGTATCTTTAATTTAATAACCGCGCGTGAAAAGACGAATAGTGTATTTGACTCTTCTTAAAAGTAAAATTGTGTACAACTGTTAACTTTGTATTTTTAGCATTACTAAGTTTTTTTAATTCCCAGAAATATAATTTCGTTAAATTCACAACGTAATAAAAACTTAATGTTTAATTATAATTTTAGTTAGAAAATGCCGATTAAGTCAATCAGTGCAGCGAAATTCCATAGCCAAATAAATAGCACTCATTAAAAAAAACAAAAAAAACATGAAGTTCAAGAAAAAAAAATTGTTTGCGTTTGTAAGGACTCCAATCCCGTGGATGTTTTTATTAATTCTTTTATTAAACTCTTGGGGGTTGGAAGGGGATTCGACGCGTCCATTTCGCTCTAGGCAGCAAAAGACAAGCCTCAGAATAAACGAATCAATTTGAACAATATTTAACCTTCTTAAGTACATATATTTCAGGGGTGTGTACATTTTTACTTGGTTGACACTATGGAAAATCAATGGCGCTAACAAAACGTGGGTCTATTTACATAAGTATGCCCATGAATATTCAAACCAAGTCATTTTATACATGTGAATTTTTTTTTTTTTTTTTTAAATATTGTTATAGATGTGTTATGATTTTCTTTTAAAAAATGAAAATATATTTTTCTTTTTACTTTGTGAAACGTAAAGTGTATTTAGGCCTATATTGTTATGAGATTTAATAGCATTTCTGTAAAAAACAAAGTCATTTTATACATTTGAATTTTTTTTTTTTTTTTTTAAATATTGTTATAGATGTGTTATGATTTTCTTTTAAAAAATGAAAATATATTTTTCTTTTTACTTTGTGAAACGTAAAGTGTATGTAGGCCTATATTGTTATGAGATTTAATAGCATTTCTGTAAAAAACCACAGAAGTCTGCTACATTGGTTAAATTATTAATGAAAATATCGATGCTTGTTTATCAAATTCCGTTATAATATAATAAATTTAAAATGGTATTTAGAGATTTGCTGTAAATTTTAAATTAAGTTTTCACAATTTTAAGGAAATATTTTTTGTTTAGTTGAGAGGCCCTAAAAGTGGTAGGGTAGACCCAACATTTAACAATTTAAAACACATGTCACCTAAAATGTGTCTCCAACGTACAAATCAGCCGTCAGTGTCATTTAGTGACAATATGAATTTAATTAGAAATCATTTAAATGGGGTAATTTAGGCCATGTTGAGAGAACAAAAATGAGGTTTAAGGGCACATAAAGTGGGCGTATAATATATAGTAGAACAAAATTTCTTAGAAATTTTAATGATGTTAGAATCGTAAGCATCTTTGCATAGATACTTCTTTTTAATATAAGGAATTGTGATGAGTTTCCGCAAATAGAAATTAGCGCAAATTTCTGCCCTTATCATCTTGATAACATCGGGTAATATTTTCTAACGTGGAAGTTTGAAATACCTTGTTCCACTATTTCCTGTAACATTCTTTTAGCCCCCAGTTTAGTGTTACCCTTAGGCTCTATAGAGTCTTCTTATCAATGCCAAATTAAATGAAATTAATATTTATTCCAATTCAATTAAATTTGTTTCAATTAATGTCATCATTTTTTAAAAAGATATTAAAAATACCGATGCAGTCATTCTGAGCCAAATTTTTTTTTTTTTAAGCAAGCATGCAGTTCGGTGCAAACCCGAATTTCTTCTTCTATATTTTGAGGGCCTACCATCAATTAGATCAGTCATTCTACATTGAATTTGTTTTTTTTTTTTTATATTTAAATAAATTATTTGCTTGTTTGATCTGCAATTTTTTTATTTTTTTTTAATGTATTTGACCACATCCTCTTTAAAAAAATTATTAACAGAAAAACACTTTTTTAAATCATAACTTATTGTACTATTATTTCATTTGACTTGTAGCGAGCAGCTACGACGCATATTACGATTTTAAGACGTCGTCGTTCACAGATCACCCCAACGTGGTCAGAGTTGAGGACTTCTGTGGGACTGATTGCAGCACTAGAGGTGAGACATTTGGGGGGGGGGGATAACTGGTAGTACTATAGGTGAGACATTTGTGTGATAACTGGCAACATTAAAAGTACGAAATTTTGTAGGAATAATTGGTGGCACTAGAGATGAGGCATTTTGGGGGGATAACTGGTGGCACTAGAGGTGAGTCATGTTAGGAGGAATAATTGGCCGCATTAAAATTAAGATTTTTTAAAATATTTTTTTTTCGGGGGTGGGGGGACTTTTTTTGGAGGGGGGACTGACAGCAGTAAAGATGAGATATTTTTGGTGGCACAACTAGCAGAACTAAAGCTGGGACATTTTTGGTGAAAAGCTGGCAGCATTAGAGGTTATACAATTTTGGGTAGATACGTGGCAGCACTATAGCTAAGACATTTTGTTGGTACTGTTTGCAGAACTAGAGGTGAGACTCACTGTGTCAAATATTTTGTTGGTACTGTTTGCAGTTCGTTTTGTGAGACTCACTTTGTGAGATATTTTGTTGGTAAAGTTTGCAGCATTTGAGGTGAGACTCACTTTGTGAGACATTTTGTTGGTACTGTTTGCAGTACGTTTTGTGATACTCACTTTGTGAGATATTTTGTTGCTAATGTTTGCAGCACTAGAGGTGATACTCACTTTTTGAGACATTTTGTTGGTACTGTTTACAGCACTAGAGGTGAGACTCACTTTTTGAGACATTTTGTTGGTATTGTTTGCAGTACTAGAGGTGAGACTCACTTTGTGAGACATTTTGAGGGGTGAGTGGCAGCGCTAGACGTGCGATATTTTTTCGAGACAACTTGTCTAGATCAGCATTTATTTCAATTGTTAAAAATGTATGTCCTATGTTTATGTTTGAGTAAGGCTTTCGGTATTTTTGTGGTTTTATTGACAGGTAGTAGGTGTCAAAGTTTAGTACCTATCACCCCTATCACCGATGTCACAAAACTCTAGCCACTCCACTTGTTAGGAGGAATGTCGTTAATGCGTGGAGAGAAGTGACGTAATTATCCCAGCTTTACATGTACAACGCTTTTGTGTGGTTACCGCAAAAAAATATTACGGCATACTTTGATGGGTACTAGTACTACGGTGCTGTTATAGGCAAACTTTGACGCGTCACTATTGACAAACCTCTGTTACTATTAGGAAAATCTTGACGCTGTCGCTATTAGGCAAACCTTGACGCTGTCACTATTGACAAACCTTGACGCCGTCACTATTGAAAAATCTTGACTCTGTTACTATTAGGAAACCCTTGACGCTGTCACTATTAGGAAAACCTTGACGCTGTCAAACATAGGGGAAAACCTTGATGCTGTCACTATTAGGCAAACCTTGACGCTGTCAAACATAGGGAAAAACCTTGATGCTGTCACTCATAGGATAACTTATCGCTGCCATTATTACGCAAACCTTGACGCTGTCACTTTTAGCCAAACCTTGAGGCTTTCATCTTTAAAAAAAAATTAATTGAAACTGTCACTGTTCGGAAAACATTGACGCTGTCACAATTAGGCAAACCTGGACGTTGTCACTATTTTTTATTTGGAAACCATTAGCATTGTACCATCATTTAATCTCACTTGGTCTTTTAGCATGACGGTTGTACTATCTTCATCATTCCTGTTTGAAAATATGCATCACTTAACGGTCAGAAGATCTATTCCATAGGTGTACTCAAGATAACCCTACCCCAGGACGACGCCAGTAAGCGAAGAGTAGTGTTGGACATGGAATTTGAGAACCCCACAGGCTGGACGTTCAACCTCGGTGATTCCAGCACCAACAATGGCTACGGTAAGGATTGGTTTGTCATAATTATATTAGCATCCACGCATTGTGTGTGTGTAGAGAAGTAGAAAGATAGTAGGTGTGCAGTGCAACTAAGGTTTACCGTGCAACCAGGTATACAGCTCACTTTGGTATCAATACAAATAGGTATCATCACAAATAGGTACACCTTACAAATAGGTACACCTTACAAATTGGTACATCTTACAAATAGGTATACCGTTCAAATGGGTATACAGTACAAAATAGGTATAAAGTACAAATAAGTATTCAGCACAAATTGGTACACAGTACAAATAGGTACAGTATAAATGGGTATGCAGTACAAAAGCATATTCAGTAGGAGTGACCGCTTGGGCCGTGTCGATAATGTATTTAGTCAAAACTGTCAAACATTTTATTTGTGTATATATAAATTTGTGAATTGTTGCATATTTTACTTCAATTAGCTCTCATTTTTTTTTTCCCTTTCACACCACAGAGTGCCTCAATTTAATACACTTTGATAATTGAACACACAGATCGATAGTAGATATAAATAGGCAATAAATTCATTAAACAACCCCTAAAAACTAAATGTTTCTATTAAATCATTTATAAATGTAATATCGTGTAATTGGGGGGGATGACAAAATATGACAAAACGCGCTTTTTAAGAATTCCGATTAGTGCTCTGTTATGTTTTCAGAGCTTTTATTTTAAAAAAGTAACATAAACATATTTATACATAAATACAAGTTCTCAGTCAGGTGTTGACTTTCTGCTTGCGTCCGGAACACGGTTCATAAACATACTCTCTCTCAACAGTGTCTCTGCGCATGCGCGCTGTTTCACCTGGCTGGCTATCGGGACGGTCCAGTCCCCTAGTCCACCATAACAGCTCCCCCAACAATAACAAGTCCAGTACCAATGGTGCTCGACGTTGTCTTTGAGATCTCCTGGGTATGACATAGTCTGAAGGTCTTGGATGTCGAGGGTTAATCTTCTTCTTAGGTGGACTTGGAGTTGCTGGATGTGTAGACGGTTGATGACTCAGGGCTGCCTGAGTTGTTGGATAAAGACTTCCTGTCATTATATCCAAGAGAAACAAAGAAAACTATTTATAAAACTGTGATCAGACCAGTTGTAACATATGCAAGTGAAACTTGGACCCTAACAAAAACGGCAGAAAACCTATTAAACACATGGGAGAGGAAAGTTCTCAGGAAAATATATGGGCCAAAAAAGGATGAATATGGATGGAGAATACGAACCAACCAGGAATTATACAGTCTATAACAGGCTCCCACGATAGTGGCAGAAATAAAAAGAGGCAGGCTACGCTGGGCAGGACACCTAGAGAGAATGCAAAATGACAGAGGAACGAAGAGGTTGCATCACCAATACCCCAGAAGAAAAAGGCTTAAGGGCAGACTTAGGCTTAGGTGGATAGATGATGGTGAAAAAGATCTACATCAGCTGAAAGTCCAAGCATGGACAAGAAAGGCATTAGTTAGGTCTGAGTGGAAGGAAGTGGTGAGGTAGGCCAAAGCCCTACATGGGCTGTAGCGCCACATGGATGGATGTCATTATATCCATATTTGGTTCTGAATCTTCTTCCGCTCCATACCTGGGGTGAAGTTGGTCTAAATGTATCTTCCATGTGGGACTATTTGGATAAATTTTCACCTTGAAAAGACGTGGTCCCATAACTGTTGCTGTTCCATTTACTCTGACTTAAAATGGATCTCCCCCGGTTAAATGATCGACTAGGACTTTTATTTGTCCCATTGCAGACAGCTATTTCTTTAAGATGTTGTCCCTGTGCTCGATGAGCAGGTGAGGGAACTAAAGTATCAATAAGTGATCTTATTTGCCGATTGTTCAGCGGTTGGCTAGGTGATAACCCATTAGCCAATGCTGTCCTACGATACTGACGTAGAAAGTCTTGTAGAGATTACTTTAAAGGTAATGAGGATTTTTTTAGTGAACTCCTGAAACTTTGAATCAGTCGTTCGGCCGCTCTATTCGTAGCAGGATAATAGGGAGCGCCTGCAAGATGTACAATACCCCTCTCTTTACACCAATGCTGAAATTCTTCCGAGATGAAGCTAGTAGCATTGTCACTGACTATAGTGTGTGGATAGCCGAAACGAGCAAAATCTTCCTCCAGAAGATCAATGGTGGCTTTGGTCGACGAAGATGTTGTCCTGTGGATACACGAATACTTTGAATAAGCATCTATCCTCACCAACCAATGTGATGCCTTAAAGTTAATGGCATGGTCGATGTGTACTCGACTCCGTGGTTTTTCTGGCAACATCCATGGGTGGATACTTGCTTTGTTTGGGTCTCTGGCGTGTTCTGCACATGCCTGACATGTTCGACCCATCTCCATGATTTGAGCATCAATTCCTGGCCAATATACAAATGATCTTGCTAACTGTTTCATCCGCTCGATTCCAAAATATCCTGTATGCAGGATTTGGAGAACTTGAGCATGTAGTATTTTTGTTAAAATTCTTGAACCATAAAATAGATAATTTGACTCCACGGAGAGTGAGTCTTGAATATTTTTAAAAGCTGCAATATTAGCTGCATCCTTGTTCAAGTACGATTTGTTTGTAGAGGACGGTCAGCCCTCTTGACAAAATCGCATTACTGTAGACACAGTAGAATCTTTAAGTGCCTCTTTAGCAAGGACTCCTGGGTCTGTTGGTCTGATCTGTAAACTGATTTGTTTAATCAAACAAACAGAATCCATGTCTGCTTCACTTTCTTCAACATCAAATAGGTCATCAGGCCCTGAGGGTAGACGACTAAGAGCATCCGCATTGCAATGTTCAGATGACTTACGGATTTGTTCATGAGCTTTAATCAATGAGTTTTGATTACTTACGTGATTTATCTTTGTTTGCAACAGCGTGTCTATTGAAATCTTGAGGTTCTTTATTGCAGTTCTTCCCAACAAATTTAAGTTGTGGTTTTTCACTACTAAAAAATGTCGAATTTGTAGTTATTTCCCCTGCCTCAGCATTTATCTCCACACCTCCCAAAACATTAAGTAGGTCACCAGACGCCGACTCGTACTTGACCGATACTGGGCTCAATGTTGATTTCACCAAACAGATTCAGACATAACATTTTCTCCGGCTCCCGTATCAAATTCGAATGCAAACCTCTTTCCTTCTAAAACGAGTTCTCGATATAATAGGTGGGGATAGTTTTTATTTGGTTTTTGCCTTCTTATTATTTTGAGATCTATTGGTTTCTGTTTTGGAGCATACTCTTTCTTATTAAGACAAACTCTTTCTAGATGTCCTCTCTTGTGGCAAAAGCGGCAGATCATGTCTTTGTACCTGCAGACATTTCCTTTATGGCCTCTTACTCCACACCTGCCACAAGTTCCAATCGGGAAATCGTGTCTTTGAGATGGAGAAAATTTCTCTGCTGTCTGATGTTGCTTATTCCTTTTTGTCTGAATTTTATTGATAGGCGTTTCTTCATGGACTGTTTCTTTGGCACATTTCGCTACCTCCTCTGTTTCAACAGCTATTTCTACTGCCTTGTCAAATGACAGTTCAGTGTCCTTCATCCGAAACAAAATTCTCCATACAGCCTCGTTCTTTACAGAGCCCATGAATGTTTTTCGTAAAGCTTCATCTAGGGGATTTTTGATATTACCAAACTCACAAGTGGCTGCATCTTGCCTTATCCTAGCCGCAAAATCTTTGTTTACCCTGGTTTTCTAATTGAATCAGACCAAAATTTGAACCTTTCCCTGATAACAAATTTGGTAGGATCAAACTGATCGATCATTATCCCATATATTTCTTCCATGTTCAAATCATTTAAATTTTGTGGTGGTTCTTTTTTTTTTTGTACGAGGGTTGACAACATGTTATGCAGCTCTGGCGTTTGACTTTAAAAAAAAAACTTGCGCCTGCCTTTCCTATGGCACATTATTTGCCAACACGAAGGCCACATAACTAGCGTAGTAGTCTGTGAACGTTTCCTCGCTACTATTGGAATTCGTAAACTTCATATTAGTAGCCCTATGACCTATTGCTAGTTTTAACAGTTGCTCGTTCTGCTGAATCAGCTTTTGGATGATGTCACCTTGGGTCAGATTTAACTCCGCCATTGTGTGTTTACCTCCTCCGTCCCGTGAAGTCACTCGTGTGTATCAATCTATCACTCGGTTGCACTGAGTTGTACTGAGTTTTGTATTGAGTTAATACTGACCATCATACTGTGTTGTTGATACTAGTCGATACCATACTGGCCACCATTTGTTATGTTTTCAATGGGTTTATTTATTTCAAACAAGTAACATAAACATATATATATACATAAATACAAGTTCTCAATCAGGTGTTGACTTTCTGCTTGTGTCCGGAACACGGTTCAAAAATACACTCTCTCAACAGTGTCTCTGCGCATGCGCGCTGTTTCACCTGGCTGGCTATTGGGACGGTCCCGTTCACTAGTCCACCATAACATGCTCACTCTTCAAGGCTTGCAACCGAACATTTTTTTCACGCCCTTCGATATTCTAATGACCCAAAAGCTTTTCCACCGCAAATTATTTTCACCATCATTTTTAGAAACACAAAATCAAATATTACGCACCAAACTCACTGGAGAGTTTTTGATTTTAAGAATCTCGTTTAGCGCAAATATCGGACATTTTATTTCGTGAAATCGATCGCATCATATTTCCTTCAGTTTCCCCTTGAAAAAAAGAGGAAAAACTGTTTTGTGAGGATAGCGGGTGGGGCTGAAAATTTCAAATGATGTGTTGTTATCGGCAACGAGTCTATGTGCCAAATTTTAGCTCGATAAGTTGACGGGAAGTGGGTCAATTAGCCGTTAGAAATGTTGCCAGCCCGCCACAAACAAAAGCGAAGTTAATTTAAAGGATTTTTTTTTTTAAAAAACGGTTTTGGACATTTTCATCGAACAACGTCCTTGTTTCTTTATCAATTAATTATTTCAACAACAATGTATTGTTAATATTTCTGTTTGCAGTTATTATTATTATCATTAGCTTTAAAGCTCCATCTCACATCATTAGCTTTATTTTTTTTTTTATTTGAAAATATTTTTAATTCAAGCTGGTGACTCATCGTCCCAGAGCAGAGACGCAGAAGTTCACGGCAATACCAATTCACTCTTGGGCTACCTCAGTGACAATGGTGGCAGTGGCCAGGCTTTTAACATTCCAAATTTGTATAGGTGAGTGAACGCCTCACGGAGTAAGGCGATTGCGATTGATAAACAATTGTATGATCTGAACGACATTCAGGGAAACGGTGTACATTGAAAAAAAAAATACGTTAAAGGTGTAAACTGTGTGATGAAGCATGCTTTTTTTTGTTTTTGTTTATGTTTTTTGTGTTTTTTCCGTTGACGTGGTTATACATTTGCGATGAGGCTAAGAATTAATTGAAATATTTTTCAGACCTTTGTTTGAAGACAGATAATACCAAGTAATGAAAAACTTCGTGACGTCCTTAGACAAAGTAGACAACCGTAAGACTTGGGGGCAATACAACTCTAAACATTGCCCAAATGTATTTGAAAGTTGAATATGTTTTTAAAAAAAAAAATTATTTGTGCTACTGTTTCTTTTTTATTTCAACTGGCAACTTATAATAAACATCATATTGTTCTACACATGTGCCCAGTAATCACCTGACCTTATTAGTCGGAGACGAGATCCTGGTTTGGACTGCTGACCAAGACCCCACTAAGACGAACTTTTTCTCAAGCCCGGGCTGGTACGCATTAAACGGACAGCCCGACTACGAGGGACCTGTCAACTATGACCTTTACCTTGGCATCAACAAGGTCATATCCGGAGGAAACTACAACGGACGCGTAGGTTCCGGTCTCTGTCGAGTCGGCATCAAGTTTCTGCCCGCTGTTTAGTTGATGGCTCATTGTTTAGTGGATTGATCATCTGACGAACGCTCTCAAATAAGGCCTGCACGCTAAACTGAAACAACTTTACGTTGTATTAAACGATTTACATCTCTTCCAACAACCGCTGATTTATACACTGTTGTCGTCTTAACATAATATTTATATACTAGATACAGCCCGCCAAACAATGGCGCCAGCAAGGCATGGACTTCCCATCTACTAAAAGTTACTTGACAAAACATGGACTACAGTTACGCAGATTTAAGAATCCAAATTTTCGCTACACCCCTTGCCCCATGATACGTTCCGGCAGACTTTTTATTTCACGCCCATGACCTTTATTAAATACTCTCATGTCCCAACTACTTTTAAACGAAATAGTTTTACACCATACTTAAATTGAGACCATTTCATTCTCCGAAAAGAAAATTGAATTACCGGTACGCGATAAACGTAGTTTGTAATTTTAAACAATCATTTAGTGTCTTAATTATCGGGAATTATATTTTGCGCCACCTTGAACTCATGATTGAACCATATTTTCTTCAAACAGTTTAGAATTATTTATTTTGTAATATGCTCTCAATAACAAATTCGCTGACCAGGAAACGGTCTATTGGGAAGCAGTCCACGAGTCATACCGGAAGCGTAACATATAAAAGAGATTTTTTTTTTTCGTACCGGTAATAAATAATGTTGTTCAGCTATGTTTAAAGAAGAGTTATTATTTAAAGGGAAGCTATTTCATTTAATTTTTTTGGTTTGAAATTAACTTTGGTTTTACGTCACCCAAGAACGTTGCACTAGAAAGCTTCTTTTGTGTGACTTAGATGTCTACTAACACTGATCCAAAGTTTGGGGATCGGCGACAAAACACAATACAAAAAAAAGTATTACTTGAAATTAAAAATGTGAAATAGTTTATGCATTTTTAAATGTTGAAACAACATCGCTTTGACACTAAAAATTATTTGTGCAATAGTTTATTTTGTGATGGGCCATGGGTAATTGTTACGAATGACCTATTATTGTGGTTTATCGATCATCATTGCAAACTCTGACCTGCACACACTCTGCTGTCTTATTTTTAAGTGTGATAACGAACTCTGACATTCAGTTGACATAGCCGTTGTGTAGTCTAGTCTTAATTTTATTGTGAATATCAAATCTGACCTACAGTGCGCATCGCCCGCTATGCAGCTTAATCTTAAATTTATTCTCAATTTGAACAGTGACAAACACTGCTACAAACAAACCGTTTCCTAGTAAAGTCTTAAATTTACTGTGAAATAAGGCGTAATTACAATACAATGTAAAACACCAGTTGATAATTTTTATTTACTATATTTATTTCTATATTTCATACCCAAAACCATCTGAAATAGACCTATTGTATACGATTAACACGTCTAGTAAAAGTCAAATCCAGTCATCACATTTTGAACCCGTCACAGACGTTGGCATTCTAAAGCCTATTCGTTTTTTAGAAAATTAAAGATATAAGAATTAAGCAATTTTTTGTTTACCGGTATTAGTATTGAGAAGGTACCTTTGTTAAAGTTCCCGTAATCTTCCAGTTTTTGAGTGCAGCGGCCACCGTGTCTTTAGAAAACTGAGGAAATATGCTCGCGTAATGCTGCAGGACAACCTCAAGATCCCAAAGTGGGTAATCTTTAGAAACTTCAGCAGATTTAAACGCGTCTTCATTCCTGACTACGATGCTCTCACCTCCTTGACCACACGCCTCATCGGATGGCGCGCGTGGAGGAATGGTCAGCCGAAGATCTTTCTTCACCAAACTGCCATTCTCGTCCTCAACAAGCAGTGTCGATTCGACAATGCCGAGGAATTTTCCATTAGGCCAATGTATCGCTCTAGGACTTGTTTGCAAGGGAAGCTTTCTTATGTCTGTAAATATCGCATCAAAGCAATCATGAAAGTCCTCCAGGCTTTTTGAGCTTTGCAACGGGTTAAAGACATAATAGGGTTTCCATGTGTAACCTGTGTTTGCTACAGATTTGTCTTCTTTGATATTGCATGTAGACGATGCAACTGGTTTCTTCAGTTTCAATAAGATTCTATCATCGGATTCCTTAACGTATTTAAAGGTCTGGAAAGAATATGTATATTCCGGAGACTCTTCTGAAAAGTCCAAAGAAATGGTGCGCATTACTGGATATCCACAACCGACCTCCACGAGGTATTGATCATCGGGTGAAACAGCACCATAGATCAACACGACTAAGTGGTTGTCTGGTGTTAGATCGTTACAGAACACCGTTGAGTGGGCCATCCTGGCATCGTAGCCGAGTGCTGACAGCAAAGCAAACATAAAAGTGTTCTTAGAGTAGCACAACCCTCCCTGACCCGCGAACATATCCTTTTTAATATCCTCCCAGGACCTCCTGTGGCGTTTGTCCACATCAAAAGACATCAGCGTCAGAGTCTGAAACGGTTCCTTGCCGTAGAAAGCTACAATGATTTTATTGAGTAATTCGATCCTTTCATTTGCTTCCAATGAGCTTACGGGAACATTTAGTACGTTGTCTATCATTAGAATATTCTTAAGAAATGATTTTGCCTCTTCAACACTCAGTAGATCCATATTAGTACGATTTGATTTGATACTTATAGATTATCAACTTGAAAAAAGATGATTTTTCTGGCTTTGCTTTATTTCTACGTTACGCAAAAGAAAATTTTAAGAACTTCACTGTATGGAGTTTACTTTTCTTAATGCCTTGATGGATCAACTTTGACCCTGATCAGCTTTAGAATTAGCTCTTATAGCGATGACGTTCAAGTGTCTGAAAGGTTTAGAAAAAAAAAAATTTAGCATAGGATTTCTCAAAACTTTACAAATAATAACATCATAGAGTTTACCACCCTTTACAATACGTTTTTTTATTATTATTTTCATTTTATTAAAAAGAAAACACTTTTCCCCCTCGCCTTCCCACCCCAAACCCCCATCATTACAATTAACCGAAGACTTAGAGATCGTCAATAAATCATAAAAAGCTCTTTCTACTTAAGGAAGAACGAAGTTAGTTTTTTAAATTATTATTATTATTTTTTTAATTTAGATTTTTTTTTAAATGTTTGCATGTGCTTCCAAAACTGACACATACATTGTCATACTTTTTATAAAGAGAATACATATCTTAAACACACGTATATGTTCTCTTTAAAAAAATTAACGTTCCGATCCAAAATTCTTCAGTTATATTTTATTGTATTTTTACCTGTGCTGAATGAGATTACAAACAATGAGTTTACAAACAGTGAGTTTACAAACAACGCGTTTACAAACAATGAGATTACAAACAATGAAATTACAAACAATGAGATTACAAACAATGAGATTACAATCAATGAGATTACAAACAATGAGATTACAAACAATGAGATTACAAACATTGAGTTTACAAACAATGATTTTAAAAACATTGAGTTTACAACCAGTGAGTTTTACAAACAATGAGTTTACAAACAACGAGTTTACAAACAACGAGTTTACAAACAATGAGATTACAAACAATGAGATACAATCAATGAGAATACAAACAATGAGATTACAAAAAATGAGATTACAAACATTGAGTTTACAAACATATAGTTTACAACCAGTGAGTTTACAAACAACGAGTTTACAAACAATGAGTTTACAAACAATGAGTTTACAAACAGCCTTATTACAATACAAAACACGGTTCGTTACTCATGTTTTTGTCAGATGTTTTATGTTGAATGATTGACAGTATTTACAGGCTACCGTGTTAGGAGCTGTTATTTCAAACAAATCATGTTACAGTTTTTAATAGTTTTTAAGAACCACAAGCAAGAAAACTCACCCAGCAATGCAGTCATTCCTTTTATGGATAGTAAAACCGACCAGCACAGGTAGGTTCACAGGTATCGTGCATTCGTGCTGTAACTGTAACGTGACGATAGACATGTGGCCGTAATACTACCTGAGCAATACCATACATTCACTGAGATGATTTTTAAAGAAGGAAAAAACAATGATAATGTTCAAGCGACAAAATAAGGTAGTTTTTTTGTTTTTTTTTAAATCTCATAAGTAGATTAAAGTACGGCCTCGCTGCACCCACAGCCCACCAGCCTCAGCCGTATATGTGGTATACTAGTACTCGGTCTTCGTTCACAAGCCCATAAGACTTAAAGTATTTTATAGAGCGAATGTGTGACGTGCAACACACAGGTATCCAGTAGAGTTAACGGTGAACTAGATTAGCTTTGGGCTAGTGTGTGTTAGCGGTAGCGTAACTAGGGGGGGGGGTGGTTGCGGAGCGCACCGGGTGAGGCCCTCAGAGGTAGGGTGACCAACCAAATGGCACATTTGAAATGACTCGCTTGAGTAAGTTAAATACAAGTGCAGGGTGCCACCCAGCGACTTTGGGCTAGTGTGTGTTAGCGGTAGCGTAACTAGGGGGGGGGGGGGTTGCGGAGCGCACCGGGTGAGGCCCTCAGAGGTAGGGTGACCAACCAAATGGCACATTTGAAATGACTCGCTTGAGTAAGTTAAATACAAGTGCAGGGTGCCACCCAGCGGCGTAGCTAGCGTTGGTGGAACCCGGAGCGGGCCAAGAATTTCGCCGCCGCCTTTCCTGAAAATGAACGTCTGCAGGTGGTCGAAAATTTAAAGGAAAAGTCCCCCCCCCCTCCCCGATGGGACCGTCCACTCTAAACCCCCATCCCTATGCGCCTGGTACCACCAGAACAGTGTGCCGAACGATCAGGTTAACATCAGAACAGAATAGGGTTCCACCAGCAGTTATGAAAAATTGTGCCACTTGGGGTGGATTTTGCGTTTGCACCCCCCCTCCCCGAAACACTATATATAAATATAAACAAATATTTTTGGCTCAGTGAAACCTGGTAATAATGAACCTTCAAATAACGTTATCTCTGGTATATGGAAAAATTGCAACCGCCCGGAAGGGGGAGGGTGGAGGGGGGTAGGGTAGGGCGTGTTTAAGGCTCCCAGACCAGCGTGGGGAAAGGACATAGTCCCTTTGAGACACTCCTTTGAAAAATTTTGATAAATTCAAAATGAAATTATTTATTTTGTCGCGAAATTGAATTTTGCTTTCGGTCTAACGTCACTTATTCAAACGACAACGGAGAAATTACACGAGTTTTTGTTATTTTCAACTATTACTATTACATTGTTTAAACTATTTCATTTGGCGATGCATTTTTTACAGTTACAATAAAATTTAAAAAAATAATATGCATAGCCTACCACTGCCCGGGTGCGACAATTGAGTTTTTTTTTTTTGGGGCGCTCGGTGCCATTAGGAGCCGGGCCGATGGCTAAAGCAGCGGTTTTTTTCAATTATGGCTTTTTAATTAAAAAAAATAAAAGCATATAATATAACTGGTATTTGGTTTCACTTCGTCTTCTTTATATTTCATCATACCGCGGAACTACATGTTCAATCTTAAAGCTCAAGGTGCCTTATCCCTGGCGTATGGCAATCACTCTCTACAGCTATATGTCGTTATGTTGCTTGTCCCAGGCGCCCCTGACGCGTTTATCTGACTAAGCATCGCACCCATGGAAACATTAGACTGCCAACACATGATAATGTTCAAAAACAAACTAGGTCAAGACACGGGGTATAACACAGACGCAAATTTTAACAGACTTACGACCGTGCTTTACTTACATGTTTTTCAATTAGTGAGAAGGGAACAAAAGAAAATCGGTCTTAATGCCTCCTTAAGAAAATTGAATTTCAGTTGTACTGCCATTTTGGCCTTAAAATTCACAATTTTATGATAAAACTAGCAAAATAATTGAACAATAATTGTATAGCAATATGTGAACAACATGAAGCTGGTTGACTACTATTTTTTTTTTTTTTAAAATCACCACCTCCACCTTCTCATATTTTGAAAAACAAATACATTTCTTACATCGAATAGCTTTGTCCTGGCTACGGTTAGTGCCACCCACCTCCTCCCCTCCACCCCCCCCCCCGGGGCGGTCAATAGTTCAGCTTCCCACGATCACTAAAATGTTGGCCGAAATTTCCGCCCCTCCATATACCGGTCCGTAATAGTGCTGCTCTGAAGGGACCGCTTATCTAGACCCAAACCCTTCCTTCGAGACCGTCCCATGGACTAGTATTTGTGTTGTGAGTGTGTGTAAGGGGGGGGGGTGTTAAGTCACAAGTTAGGAAACACTGGAATACGATGGCTTGATTTAATTGCATTTCACATTATGTTTATGAATATGTTTTGCGGGGAGGGTTGGAAGCTCATTGTGACTGTACTGACGCAGCAGGGGTCAGTGCCTAAAAAGGAAGGATGCGTCATGGGAGATTAGTTAGGGGGTGGGTATACACTTTTGCTCTGATTACACCCTTCCCTTATCTTTGTGGAGAGTCCCTCATGGGTGAACCCTAAAGTTTAAATACGGTGTTTATTTTAAATCTGAGGCTTCTCAACATGTGATCTACAGACCCCATGCCCTGGAGGCCAGGGACAAGGTGTCCAGCGAGTTTTGTTATGATAAGTTCTTCTACCTTGTTTCGAGAAGGAGTCTGAGGCCTTCATCGGACTGCCAATGGGGTCCATGCAACACAGTAGTTTCAGAACCACTTTTTAGATTTAGATACCTTTGCAAATATATGTTCTATTATATATATAATATATCTTCTATCGTATTTAAAAGTTCTACAGTTACAAGTGACCAGTGTGTGAAAGACCAGGCCCAGCCTGTAATTTAGGTTACATTTTATTTTTAAAAAGCATGTTTAAAAGATTATATTATATTCTTGATTCTAAATCTATAGGGGGTTAACACAAATAGTTTCTATTCTTAATCAAAGTTATTCTATAGGTCGTTAACACAAATAGGTTCAATGTTTCTTGCCAAAATATTAATAGTAATAGTGTAGTAAATGAGTTAGTTAACTGTACATGTGAGCAGAATCGGACATTTAAAATTTAAAGTTTGAATTTAGTGCAAAATTATTTCATTTTTTTCCTTTAACACCCCACTCCCCACCCACCAAAAAAAAAAAACTCACACACTAAAACCTCCTTTAATGTACACCCACACTCCTCCACAAATCCCCCTACACCACACACTCACAACCTCATTGTAAACCATCACTCCTCCCCATTTATTAGATGACTTCATTGTTAACATGGGCCAACTCACTTAAAGTTAAAGACAAGAGACAAAACAAAAAAAAGACAGTAAATAAATGGAGAACTTCTGAATCATTTTATTTTTCCAACAAGGGACTCTACAACCCCCCCAAAAAAAAACAAAAAAAAGAAAAAGGAAGGGAAAAAGCCAACAAAATTGAATATTTTCCTGTAGCTCAGTTGTTGGTCTTGTAAGCGACCTGCTACCATTATGAAGCAAGTACCTGCGCCCTTATAACTTATAATATTTAGCTGTAAGATCTTAGGTAAGTAACTCAAGGTCTTCTTATTGAAATCTTTTCTATGCTTAGGACTTCCGATAGTGCAGTGCATAACTTCCACTGCCAATACACAAGAACTCCTTTTGCTTGATTAATAATGTGTGGAGAATTCATTAATAATGTGTGGAGAATTCATTGCAGAAACTTACAAACACTAAGAAAATGTGAAATCCAGGGTCAGCAGGAATAACTGACTAACTTGATCAAGCCACGGCCACTGTATCAGTTGTACAGTCAAATGGTGCTGGTACAATTCAATAGCTCTTTGTAATGATATATGGTACATAAGGATGAATCTTGATTTAAAGTTTTGTATATTAAACTCCTCTTGGCTGAAGTATTTTTTAAAGAGCTGCAAACAATTTTTTTTAAATTATTTATTTACGATTTACAACAAACCAAATTTCTTTTGTATATTTGGAGTTAAGAGAGCTTCACAACACATACCACACAGGTACAGAACATTCTTTTAATCACTGTCTGCAACATCTTCTGAGCTATCACTATCACTGATTTAACAATTATCTAAGTAATAGGATTTAAGTTGAAGAAAGTCTTTCGTCACTCAGTATTTATCACTTCTTTTTCTTTTGCCGACCAGATTTTTCCTTTGTGGCAATGTTACTGTGAATGTGAGCAGCAGGTTTTGTACTGCTCTGACTGGAGCTGCCTTGTTTCACTACGGTTGCTGTTCTGGCATCACCTTTAGGACCTGACGTTTCTAATGATATGTCCTCTGCCAGTGATTTTAATTTGGAAATCGATTCTGTCATATCAAGCCCCATTTTCTTTAATTCAGAGTACTGATTTTCTAGTTCGGACGGGGCATCTTTTAAATCAGTGTACAAACTAATAAGTCTCAGCACATTGGCATAAGATGCTTGAATTTCATCCGAGTTGGTCTGGGAACATTCTGAATCTGATATTGTGCTTGATCGTTCTGAAGGTGAGGTGGATGCCGTTACTATGGGAAAATAAAGAGAAAATCAATGTATTTTATAATTATAATAAACTAAAATTAAACCTGGACTACATAATTTATTTTTAAACAAATTTTTTTTACAGGTGTTCAAAGCAATGTCATGACTCATGCAAGTGCTCCTTCATCATTTGAAGGCATCAAATGAAGATTTGAATTTCATATATATAAAATACCCGAAACAGTTACTAAAATTAAATAAAATGGATCCCACTGATTAGATATCCTTTACTCATTTTGGATATGGCTTAAAGTAATTTTGATTAATAAATACAGGTACCGGGTAATAAAAAAAGACACAGAATGTATTACCGGTATTTGAATTTAAGTAAGGTAGATTTTATAGATCTTGTTGACTCTAAAGACAATTAAATATATTCCATAAAATAAATATGTTTTTGGCTTAGCCCTTTATGATGTGTAATGTGCCCAGTGCCTGGATGTGATAACCTTTGCTAAAATGCCAATAAATATAAATTTAGGCTGGTGTTAGCTAAAGCGCAAAATGTGATCTATGTATCACAAGGGATGGGTTCAGCGCAATGCCTCTTTATATTTGCTTATGCCCTAAACTTAAGCAAAACGGGTTAGGAACATAGACTAGGAATAGCAACTTTATTGTGACCTTCAGTTTCAGATATGTTGAGAGCCGGGTCGCCAATTCAAAAATAAAAAAATTTAAGGACAAATATTTTTAAAAATATCCAGAATTTTGACCGATAATCGAAGTTAATTAGTGACACATTGTAAAATAAGCTTACGTCAGTTTCAAGGCAAAAATAAATGTCAAAGATTAGATGCATAAGACTATGTATGTACGCCTTTATGTCATATCACCATGCGGTGTGCCTTTTCATGTTTTTTAAAACATTTTTTTGTTGTATAACATTCTTGTCATTTTTTTAATTGATCCTGATAGTGATCATACAAAATTTAAGTTTCATGCAGACATGAAGAAATCACAAACACAGAGTAATCCTATTTTGGTTCACTTTAAAAGATATTAATATTTGTCAAAGTTCGCAATTTTTTACAGACATCCTAAATTTCGTAAGGCCGTAAGGACTTAAACTGACAATTTGTTGTACCAGTCAGTAGTCAGTAAATTTTCTGATGGTTGGCAAACCTGTGGTTGCCCCTTCAAAATCCAGTCCGGTAGTGCCAGTTGTAGGTTTTTAAATAATTAATGATAATGGGCACCAAAATTATACATTTTCAATGGGCATGGGCAGTTCAATTTAATAGGTATTTTGATACTGAAGTTGTTATCTGATACTATCAGTGATAATTTCAATAGTAAAGTTGTACAGGTAGTGGTTAGGTTAAAAATATCAATGGATAATAATAGTGTATAGTATTGTTAGAGCGAGAGTAGAACTTGGAAGTAAAAATAAAAAAAGTGAATCAAATTGCCCGCTTAAATTTTAAAAAATGGCTCATTTCATAGACATAATACTGGTACTCAATCACTGCGACACTGACCATAGCCATATTTAACTTTAGTTTTAGTTAGACCCTTTAACTTTTTTACTTTTTTTTTTTTTGTTTAACTTAGTTTAAGTTTTAAAAATAATAAAATTATTATTTATATTTATAAAGCAAAGTTGAGGAACAGAAATTCATTTTTTTTTTAAATTTAAAAAATGAACAACAATTTATTTAAGAGGGACAAAAGAATTATTGAGAATGTTTATGATTTTAATTCGATTTTTTTACAAATAAATGTGTTTACTGGTACTTACTTCCACTATTTATTGATGCTATGCTAGACTTTCCAATGGTGAAAACTACATCGGTGTCATCGGATATGCGTGAAATGTCGGCAATTATAGCTTCCCAATTCGGGGGCTTCGGTCGCTCAGGCAGACGATTCCCCTTAGACATAATTCCCATTGAGCTATAATAATGTGATAGCTATTTTGATTTGCAGTAAACTTTGGAAAATTTACTTGTATTAATCTATAGCGGTACGTGTATACTTTTCCTTCATATGTACAACATATTCACCGCGACAAAAGCCTTACCCGACTTTCTTCCGAGACCGAAATTTAGTGACTAATTCTTTTTAGTGTGATTAAAATTGAGGCAATAATGATTGGTAATTTCTGTGTGCTTTACAGTAAGTCACAGAAAAGTGCTAGAAATTATTGAAAGTATATTAATAAAATACATTTGTAAAAAAAAAGACTGCATGTGAATAAATCTCCCTGCCATAATGGCAATGTCATTTCAAAGGAGTAATTATAAATTATGTAAACGTTGAAAATACCACGACATCGACATACTCACTGTCAGACTCAGTCAACAGTAGCAGTCAATTTCTTAAGTGTATCAGGAATCAGTATCAATGAGGTGAATTATGCAAAGCAAATTGAATCAATATTTATTTTTTTTTTTTTTTTTTTTTTTTTTTTTAATTTTTTAAATTAGATAATGATAATTTAAATAAAATTTTTAAAGCCCCTAAAATTTTTTGGTGACGCTAATTTCCGAAAAATTTTTTTTTTTTTTTTTTTTTTTTTTGTTAACTTTTTAAATTAGATAATGATAATTTAAATAACATTTTTAACGCCCCTAAAATTTTTGGGTGACGCTAATTACCGAAAAATTTCTAGACTAATCAAGTATAGATTTTCCAAGGCCCCATGTTTCTATAATTATACAGATAACATTATTTACATAAATAACGCAATTTTTTATCTGTGTCAAATAATATATAAGTGTAGCAAAATTTTATTCATGAAATACATTCAAAGAATGATTACATATCCTTCAAATTTAAAAGTTTTAAGTTATGTGATTCGGTTATTGTTCAACATTTCATTTTTTTTTTTTTTGGAAAGAAGAAGTTGACAAATTATTATTTGTTAAACAAAAAAGTTTCACAAGCAGTGAAGGTAGTGGAACGCGCAAGAAGTTCATCTTGCCTAGGACATACAAAAGTCAAATCTTAGTCATTACAATAGGGAAATTCTGTCGGCATATTTGACAACCATTTCAAGTATTTTACTCGAAATTTCCACTTTCACAGAATCATATAAGTTATTTTAGTTTATTTCATTTTTTGTTCACTTGTGTTTGTTCACTTAAGAAAGCTTTCTGCCGACACATCCATAATTTCGTTGAGCCCTTTTTTATGCTTTGACCCTACCTGGTGCAACTCATTTCCAATAATATGATGGGCTATCTAATCTCAAATTTCTTGTTGTTGGTTTTCACTGTGAATTTTCAGATTTTAACAACTAAATACAAAACACCAAAATATTATATAATGCTGCATGATTTCAAAGATTTAAAGATGAATCATAAATCATTTAGGGACCGTCTAAGAAAGTACGTCACGCTCCAGGGGGGGGGGGGAGGGGGTGTAAGAAAGTGTGACAATTGGTGACAGGGGGAGGGGGGGGTCAGGCCATGTGTGACGTCACACATTTATTTTTTTACATTTTATTTTTAATTTATTTTTTATTTTTTTA